CATGTACGGATTCATGATAATTGAACCAGTTTCCTCATCAATGGGCATTTAGGTAATTCCTTGTTTTCTTTTGTTTCTATTATAATGAGCCACAGCAAATATCCTTATCTATGCATCTCTGTGAATTTGTCATTTGGCTCCTTTAGATAATTTCAAGAAGTAGAACTATTGGGCCCTATAAACACTTATATAAAATCTATTCCACACTGCCTTAAAAGAAGGCCACACGTATTTGCATTGTCAAACGTGGACAAGGGTGCCCATTTTCCACACCCAGGCCAGTGCTAGGTTTTGTCCATCATCTTTGCCACCTGAAAGAGAAAAAAAAATCTCACCATCACTTTGTATGTGTGGTTTATTTATTTTTCCTTGTTTTTTTCTTTTAATATAGATGGTGTCACATGTATACAGTTCTGCAACTGGCCTTTCCCACTTGACAATGCTTTCCCTCCTTTTCTGCTTGCTCTGTCAAGGGTCAGGTAAAAAACTACCTACTCCAGCCAAGAGCCTCCCATGCGCTCCCTCCAGGTGCCCACAGCTCTCACTTCTGCTTGTGAGTTATCAGTGGGTACAGGAGCAGGCAGAGGGTCAGAAAGGACCGATTGCAAGTTGCTACCCAAGAGGCCAAACTTCCAGGCAGGGAACATCCTGCACAGCATCAAGGCTGGCATGTCCGGCCTGCGGAGCCCTGCTCATGCCTGCTCAGCATGACCCGTCTGCATCAAAACCTCTGTGTGGGCCCGCTGTACTGAAGCCCAGGAAAAGGCAACATCTAAGCCAAACCCATCTCTCTGCCCAGGCTGTAATTTTCTGATTAGGCACCACAGTCACCACCCTTTCTGCACACACTGATCACTTCCTGCCTTCCTCTCAACCTCTGGGGCTCCCGGGGCTCCCAGGGACAGCAGATTTCAGCGCTTCGACCAGGCAGCAAGAAGGGGCCAGGAACTGGCCAACCAAGACCTGTCTGAGCAAACGCCTCCCTGCTCCCAGAGTCAGACTCTGTTCAGAAGGGAACTGTGGCTTGGTTTTTAAAGTTCAAGAAATAGCTTTAAAAAGAAAGACTAAGGTTGCTATGAGGCAGTAGAGCAGAGAGGTATGTATGGGGCTTGCATTCAAATACTGCCTCTGCCCTCTAATGATGATCTTGGCCAAATGAGTCTCTCTGAGTGCCAGCCTGCCCACCTATACCATGGGGACAACAATTCCTCAGAAGATTGTTGCATGACATTATAGCAGAGCGGTTAAGGAGCTAGACACACATGGTCATGAATCCTGGTTCTTCCCTCTTAGTTGGATAGGTTCCGTCACCTCTTTGAACCTCAGTTTTGCCATCCTTTTAATTGGAATAATGAAAATACCTGTCTAAGTGCTGTTATACACTTGAAATCGTACATGTGAAAGTATCTTATAAACAGAAGTTCTGGCAAAACAGAGGGTGGTATTTCCATGGTCAATAAAGAGAAGGGGCTGTTATCTGTGGAGCCCTGGCCTGACCTCTGCCTGGATTCCTCCTTCTCTGGCACAGCATCACGTTTTAAAGAGGTCTATTTATCTCAGGCCCTGACCCCAAGCAACAAAGCTGCACTGGGGAGGGAGGGAGTCGGGGCAGTGGTCCTCTCAGGATGCTGAGATGAGGGGCAGCGGGCACCTCTGCTGTGAGGCAGGCGTGGGGAGAGACTGGGGACACCGTGTGTGGATAGATCTTACTCCATCACATTTATCTCTTTTCCCCCATTTTCCAGCCCCTGTAACTAGAATCAGCAACAACCACCTCTCCTTTCCAAGTAGCCGAGTTAGAAATTCAGAATGATCTCTCTTGAGAGCCTGTAGAACAATGGAGCGGGCCCATTGGGGGCCCAGGACAGAGGCTGAAACAGGTGGAGGCACCCCTGAGAGCACAACCTGACCTGGTGAAGGCCAGTTTGCTGTGGAAGGCATCCTGTCTCACCCACATTTGAGGAAAACATCAAGGTGCTCAGTTCCCAGCATCTCAGTGTCAGATTCCTAGGGCTGCTGGACTAAACAGGAGAGTTTATACTCTCAGTCACTGCCTAGATCTCCACAATATTGAGACTGCTTCCTGCTGGAGGAATTAACAGGCAAAAAAAAAAAAAAAAAAAAAAAAAATCCAGCTATCTTTCAAACACCTCAAGCCTTGGATTCCAGATCCTTCCCACAGAGCTGGGGGACAGACCTGGGTATAACCAGAAGGAGACTCAGGCCCAGGTCCCCTTCATGCCACTGAGCCCCCAAACCACCAGGCTGGCAGGCTGGAGATGAAGGAGCCATTCAGGGACAGCCCTGTTGGATCCCAGGGCTGAGGGGGGTGGGGAGGAGGGTCCTGCTTTCAACAGCCAGGCCCGGGCAAGCACAGCCACTTCTGCCCCAAGCAAATCAATTGAAGGTCTTGGCCAAGCCTGTTTGAGTTGGTGAGAGCCCAAGTGGGAATTCCAATCTGCCAGTGTTTGCTCTGCGGGCAAATCGAGCCAAACAGAAATGCAGCTTTGGGACTTTGCGCCAAATATCCATTGGCTTGTTCTGCCAGTGGTTGCTGGGCCAGCCCTATGTACGTCACCCCCTCCTAGTTCTTGGCTCTCTGAAAGCCGCCTTCTTGTGCCCTTAAAGGAAGCTTGTCCTCCCACAACACACTCCAGTGCCCATGTGCAGGGCTGCCTTGCTGGGCCTGGGACTCAGGCCTTCCCCGTCTGACATGCCATCTGCCCATCCTGAACCAGCTCCATCTGCAGCCCCATTCACATGCCCTCCGCAGGTTCCTGACCTCTGCTTCCCACTCTCAGCTCCATACTTTCCTCCCCACCACAGGGATGTTGGCCCAGTCCCTCTCAGCCCCTGACCAGCACAGCCCACTGCAGAGAGCCCCTAGCAGAGGCAGAGGGTCAGGGAGCACGACCCATGTGTTGACTACATCTTTTCTCGCACTCCTACATGTACTTTGTTTGATACTTGTAGTTGGTCAGTTTTATCATCCTATTTCTTGGAGGAAACAGCTGAGGCTTCAAAAGACCAGACACCTAGCCCTAGGTCACCCAATGAAGGAAGCCAGGTCTCCTGACTCCAAAACCATGGCATTTCCTACCTTGCCCCCTGAGGCAAATTTTTAAATCTTTTGTTCACTCCCAGATGCCTAGGGCAATTCCCAGGATTCCTGACGAGAGCAGGTGGATGTGTTTCAATGTTCCCTTGAGCTATGTTGGCACACACAGTGTGAGCAGGTGGCAATATCTGCTGTGCCCCAGCCGTGAATTGGAGCCATTGCCTGGGGCCTGCCTGCCCTGCTAACTAGGCTGCACTCACCAGAGCACCCCTGAAAGCCCCCAGCCTGGGGTTATCCCTGGACACGTAAGACCCTGAGCTTCTCCCCCTGCCAGCAGGGGCACAGACACCCTACCTCCCAGAGCATTGGCACAAAGTTCTCTCCACCCAGGAAGTGGCTAGGCTGCACTCTCTGCCTTCAGAGTGTTTCCCCACAGCAAGGCAATGGGTCTCATCTGAGGAGATCCTTCTTTGGCATTGTTTCTACAATTCCCAATATGGCCCTGAGAATGTGAACCTTTGCAGATGGGAATGGCTTGAGTTTCTTAGAGGACAGGTGCTCTCTGCGTTCCTCAGGGAAACTGACTGGATTGCTGTCTCTCCTATGCAGCCGTGAACACCAAGAGGCCCAGGGCTGGGCCGTGGGTTTCTCATCACAGAACCCCCAGCACATAGCACAGCTCAGTAAACTGGGAATGGCTTGAGTTTCTTAGAGGACAGGTGCTCTCTGCGTTCCTCAGGGAAACTGACTGGCTTGCTGTCTCTCCTATGCAGCCGTGAACACCAAGAGGCCCAGGGCTGGGCCATGGGTTTCTCATCACAGAACCCCCAGCACATAGCACAGCTCAGTAAACAGTGGTCAAATGCATGGACGAAACCATGAGGAATGGCTTCTACCTGACCTTGTCCTGTGAACTCAGGGGTGCTGTCATCTAGGCCTGCAGCCCATGGGCCCACTCATGAGACCCTTTTTCCAGTCACTCTCACCTCTACTAAATGTGTTTCCTGCTGACTCGACTCCCCCTTGTGGGTCTGGGGCCTTTTTACACCCAACTGAGGGTGCCCATCTCGCACCCAGGCTCTACCCAGGGCCTACCTCCCCCTCTGTCTGAGGTGGCACTGCCAAGGTGACAGGCCTCAGGCATACTCCCCAGCAGTGAGAGCAGAGCCAGTCCTTTGAGCTGGCTGGTCTGGAGCAAGAGGTGCCAGCCGCCCAGCCCTACTGTGGCCTTTGGAGGGCTCCACTGTGGCTGCAACAGAGTGATGCCAGGATCTTGGCAGCTCTGTTGGTCATCTGGCTAGGAATGACACATAAAATGCCACTTTTTAAGTGAGGAATCCTAACTAACCGTATGAGGGAAGGAGCCCAAAGTGCCTGCTGCTGCTTCTGCTCCTCTGGGCCCTGGTACAAGGTGCTTGGACATTGCTGGACCTCTCCAGACTGAGCTCCATGCCCACATGACAAAATTCGGCCAGTCATGGCTGCACTCCTTGGGGTGAACCTAGAGGAAATCAGAGCAGACTTCCAAAGAGGGGTCTCCACAGCAGTGGGTGAGAGAGATGAGACTCTGTCAGGCATGAGAACACCCACACAGACCAGCCCTCAGAGGCTCCCAGATCAGCAGGGCCACACCAGTTCAAAGGGGCCATGCACTTTTATGGGGCTACTGGAGGCCCTTCTTGGTTTGGGGTCCTCTGGCAGCTTCCCCCTGAGCTCAATGGGTCCTTGCGGCTCAGTCCAGGGAAACTAGAGCCAGAGTGGCTCCTGGATGTGGTCTCTGGCCAGGGTGGTCTTAAGCCTCTCTCTCTTACCCTCTAAGTCTGAGATGTCCTGAGAGTGGGAGATGGGGAGGGGGCTCTGGGGAATCAGACTTCATGGCACCTATTCAGGCCCAACCTCCCAAGGTGGGGAAATGCCATGATGACAGCAGCTCCGGAGAGGCCAACTCAGAAAGCCTGTGTTTAATGGGGGCTTGTCACAACCTGCAAGGTCCCCAGTGCCTGGGCACCCCCATACTCCACTACTTCTCATCAATGTTTTCCAAGGACCAGGACTGCTTCTTCTGGGGCAAGTCTTCAAGCATCAGGCCCAGCACGTGCACAATCTCATAGTACAATTCTTGAAGCCTGAAAAGTAGAGCAGGAGGAGAGATCTGAGGTCAGGGGCAGGCCCTGGGCCACCCTGGGAACTCCCCAACACATGTTTGCACCTGTGCATTCAGGAAAGAGAAAGAGCTTCAAAGCCACATCAGGCTGGGTTGGAGTCCTGGCTCAGCTGACCTGCCACTCTGCCTGGGGTACCCTGTAGTAAGGGATTTCACCTCATATGTCAGGTTGGAGACAAACCCCCAGGCTCTAAGAAATGTAACTGTGTGGAGATGTCCAGGCAGTACCTGGCCCACTCTTAGGCCAAAAATGGGCATTCCTTGACCCATTCCTTTTTAGTTTCTCTGGTCTCTGAAGCCCTCCAGGGGGCTTTCATTAAGAAGACAGGTTAAGGGGCCAGCCCGTGGCTCACTTGGGAGAGTGTGATGCTGATAACACCAAGGCCGCAGGTTCAGATCACTATATAGGAATGGGCGGTTCGCTCACTTGGGAGAGCATGGTGCTGACAACACCAAGTCAAGGGTTAAGATCCCCTTACCAGTCATCTTTAATAAAATTTTAAAAATTAAAAAAAAAAACAGAGAGCGTGGTGCTGACAACACCAAGTCAAGGGTTAAGATCCCCTTACCAGTCATCTTTAATAAAATTTTAAAAATTAAAAAAAAAAACAGACAGGTTAATCATGTCAATCCTTGCTCAAGAGTCCACTGTGGCTCCCTAGTGCTCACAGCTGCTCTGCCAGGTTTTTATATCCTTCCTGCTCAGTAATAGCCAGTCATCATCCCAGCTAACTTACACTGAGCACAGGCCCTGAGCCAGGCCAAGCCCAGAGATTCGCATACATTGTTTTCATTGAACCAGCTCAGCAGCCCCTCCTGTGACAGATAGGAAAACAGCAGAGACCTGCCCAAGGCAGTGGCAGAACCAGGCCAGGAGCCTGGGCTCCTGATTTACTACCCAGTGCTCGCTCCTCTGCCCTCCAAGAAGGGGTTAGTGAGGAGGGGCCTGGAGAGTGAAAGGAGCCAGCATTTAAATCCAAGTCAATGCAGGCTGGGGAGGGACAAGGTGAGCAGATTCTGGCCAGCCACTGGCCTGTGCACACGGCAGCCCAGCCACTGTGTGTACATAGAGTCCTGAACCCCCAAATAGGTCTTTGGTCCACTCACCCATCCCCCACATTGGCTATCATCCCCCTTGCTCTCCAGGGGTACCCAAAACAGCCCTGACCCCAAGGAAGCTCCAGGACCAGGAAAGGCTGGGGCTGGGACTGACCTGTAGATAGTAGTGTCCTGGTTGTCCAAAGTGGACAAGTAGACGTCGATGAAGGGCATGCTAGTACCAAAGTCATCTAAGACCATGGGGTCAGTGTGCCTCAGGGTCTTCTTGAAGTTCCCCACCAGCTCACTGAAACTTTTATAGTCAACACTTTTCTAGAGAGGGAAGCATAATGAGAGCAATGAGAGGAAGAGGTGACAGCCAGGCTGCACAGAGACCTGGGGACCCTCTGCAGTGGGCTCTGGGCCCTGACCCTGGCCCCAGGATGAGTCTCGAGCCTAGCCACAAGTCCATCCTGACCCCCTTTGAGCCTGGATCCCCTGGATGGGGTAGCCTCGTGGGCTGCCATCAGGACACGTGAGGACAGGTGGGAGTCTGGGTGTGGCTCCGTGTGGCTTCCCCGCCCTGAACAATTCTGGGGCACAGTCAAGACAGGCAAATGTCTCCACGTTGGAGAAGAGGCTGAAGACAGAGACCTAGCAGAGCAGCCAGGGCCCAGCATGGGATGCTCAGAGCACTTGGGCTGAAAAGAGAAGAATCGCCCCCAGTCCCTCACAGTTATATCATGACTGACAGAAAATCTCTGGCCTGTTGTGCTCATTCTTGTTCTGGTTTTAGAACTGTGAGAAAATCGAGGTCGAATGACACCTGTCAGAGCCTCCACGTCCTCATCCACTGGGAGGACTGGGGCGTGGCTGCCTGGCACCCAGTGAGCCGTCAGTAAGAAGCTTAAGCACAGACTGCCTCACCCCGAAGGGCTCAGCAGTGAAGCTTTACCCACAAAGGAGGGAGACATTATAATCACAGCACTCAACCGAGAGGTTCAGAGAAACACAGAAATGCAGAGAGTAAAGCCTGACTCTGGAAAATACAGGGGGACTGCACCTGCCTTACCTAAAGCCACAGATGCCTGGCCACCTGCCCTCTACACAGGCCCCCCTCTTCCTGGCCATGCTTTCAGCCCTGACCGTCCACCTATTGTCTGTCTGCCTGCCTGTGGTGATCACCTACCCGTGTCTGCATCAGCCTGCTGACGTCCTCCTGCTGCCGCCTCAGAATCACCTGCTTCTCCTCCATAAGTGTCATGTGCCTCTCCAGCATCAGATCTCTCTCAAACTTTTTGATGGAGTCCTAGAGAGTCGGTGGTTCAAGTCCAGGTGCAAGCTCTCACTGCATATCACTCCTGACTCTTCTTTCCTAGCCTTGTACTGTGGCTCCAGCCCTCAACAGGAAGGTCCACCCCCCACTCACCCCCACCACACATACACACAGGACCAGCCACCAACTAAAGCTGCCAACTGCAGCTGTAGAGGCTCCCTGAGTCCCACCGTCCTGCTGGCCACCATCATAAGCCAGGGCAAATGCACAGGCTCAGGGAGAAGAGTGGGCTGGGTAGGGGGCCATCTGGTCACCTCCACTCCACTTCAGGACGGAGACACTGCTCAGTGCCCTCCCTGGAGACTTGGCCCGCAGCCCCACCTAACCTGACCCCCCATCCTCACAGGTGGGGCCTCACTCACCTCAGTGTGCATGATCATCACGCCCACGAACATGTTGAGGAAGATGAAGGAGGCAAGCAAGATGAAGATGATGGTGAATGCCCGGCTCAGAACCAAATTCCGGTTGTCCAACTGCTCCTGCAGGTCTGTCCAGCCATCGACCTGCTCAGGCAGGGCAGGGTATGCTGAGTGCCAAGGCCCAGCAGGATAGGCCTTCCTCTTGCCTATGCTAAGGGAGCCCCAGCCAAAGGGGTGCTTCCTGCCCCAGCCCCACTGAGGAGGAAGCTGGCTCTGCCTCCACATCAGCCCTTGGACACTTCCCCAGTCCACTGGCTCCAGCCTATACTGGTGGGCTGGGAATGCAGGGCACCACGGGTCGGGGCACTGCTGGCCAACATGCCTTAGGGCCTCTTCTCTCAAGGTCTCCCATCCTTCCCAAAAAGACACAGCCTCACTGCCAAACCAAGCTTTTAAAAGACCCCAATCTTTCTAGGGTCCAACAGAGTCTAGACTTCTAGACTTGGGTTTTGCATGTTTATTCTGGGTTAGGACAGCTTGTTCCCCAAAAGTCTATGTGACATGGGATTCATTTATAAATTAAACTTAATCCAAATGAACTACCATTTGAGAACTCTGAAAAGTTTTATGGCCCTGTGGGGCATACAGGAATGCTCTAAGGAGTCACAGGATTAGAGACAGAGATGGGTCCCTGTCCAGGGCACTAAGCAGCTGAACATGGGGCAGGCCCCATGTGAGGCACAGCATGTCCACATGCTCACGCCACCTGAACAGTCCCTTCTGAAAGCCCCTGCCCTCATCACTGCTCCCAAACACAGTACCGTGGCCAAGCTGAAGAGGGTGAAGAAAGCCACAGCCAGGTTCCCCCAGTTATCCTGGTCACCCTTCTCTGGAACTCCAAACAGGCAGAAGCCCAAGATAGCAAAGATGTACATCAGAACGAAGAACAGGATGAGCACAGAGGCCACGGTGTAGACTGTCTGACCCAGGGCAGTGATGAGTGTCTGCAAGGCAGGGACGTTGCAGCTAGACGAGGGCTCCAGGCTGGGTGGGCTCAGATGACAGCGGTCCAGCCTGACAGCTATCTCCAGCATCTGGTGCCAGGCCTGGCACATGGTAGATGATTAATCAGGTTGGTTGAATGAATGAATCAGAACTGTGCCCAGACTGAGGGCTGGATCCACCTGTCCCTGGTTTACCAATGTGTGGCATTCAAGCTCAGGCACCTATGGGCAGGTAATGTGTGCTGCCTAAGGTCTGAGGTAGCCTCCTCATCAGCACCACTAACCACTCCACTTGAATGCCAGCCAGGCTCTGTGGCCACCCCAGGGTGTCCTGCTCCTGCTTCTGAGCTTAGGGCCAACCCTGAATGTCCTTTGCCCCAAGCCCAGGAGGAACAGGGGAGGCACCCTGGGAGTGAGGATGGCGAAGGCCTGAGAAGAACATGGCTCCCCATTCTTTCTGGGCCCCACCTTCACAGGCAGGTCCCTGTCTTGTGACCTCGATCTTCCCCCAGTGAAATGGACATTTGTCTTCTCTCCCCACCACATTGCCCATTCCTGGGAACACAGTGTATGGCTCTTCCTTGTTCCTTCTCCATGCCCTGGATTCTCACATGTAGCAGGTACTCAGTACATGTTCACCTACCTAGACGTTTTCACAGACATAATAAAAGGTAGATAGGTATTATCATTCTTCCCATTTCAAGATGAGGGGTCAGAGGCTCAGAGACGCAAAATGTCTTGGCCAGGGCTGCACCAATACAATGGCAGAGCTAGAACCAACTCCCAAGTCCTTTGCCAATGCCACCTCCCTAACCACCAGCAGCCCTGAGCACAGAGACTGTTTATTGGCACAGCACTCAGAAAGCTAGGACACAGGACCATGCAGTTTGGACAGGTTGGGGTAATCTGGGAAGCGGAGAGACAACTCAAGAGCACTGGGCTGCCCTGTGTGTGAACTGGTTTGGAAACTGCCTACAGGGGTGAACACATGCCAGATGTCTTCCTCCTCTCCTGGGGGAAGAAAGTTGGAATTTTTTGATTAATTCCAAAAGAGCTGAAATTTAAAAAAAAAAAAGTTGTCTCCCTCCCAGCTAGATAGAGACAGAACTTCTTTCCCAAGCACTAGTAAGACTAAAGCTATGGTATATCCTCGAGAAATGCCACGATGGGATGTGGTCTGCAGATCAGGTTTGCACAGGTGGGAAGCAGGGGAGGGTGGAGTGGTAGAACCTGAAGCACATGCAGAGGGTGGTCTCCCACCACCAGGCCAGCTCATGAACTGGTGCCACATGAGGTCAAAACAGAGAACCTTGAGAGTGGCAAGCACAATCTAGACAGAACCCGTCAGTGTGCAGTCCAGAAAGGTGCAGAACTCCAGTCCCAAGGGATGGCTGCCCAGATCCCTATAGGCCAGTAGCTCCTTCCCTGAGGAAGTCTTGGGTTTTCAAAGCCTATGGCCTGGCCCCATCTATGCCTGATTTTGAATTCCCAAATTCTTAGGGGAAGCAATTCCCAGAGCCCACTTCGGCCCTTCTCGGCTCTGGGTCTCACCATGGCTGTACTCCTGGCCCTGGGGTATTCCAGGTGTGGAAATGATCTCCAGGTAGGGCAGGTGCACAGGCCCCACGCTCTGATGGAGCCCTCCTGCACAGCCCCTTGGATATGCAAGAAATGATCGGGGCCCAGGAGGCAAGGAGAAAGACTGGCACTTTCACCACAGCCCAGTGTCTGAAGGTTGCTCTCAGGATGAAATTCAGATGAACAGGAGCAATGTGATCCTTGGGTCTCAGCTAAAAGAACTTCTCTGTGCAAAACAAGGTACTATTTCCTCATGGTGCATGTTTATTGCCATCAGATGGAAGGTGGAATGTCATTTTAATTAATCAGGGGTTGGGGGCCAAAAATGTGTTAGCATGCCAGCTCTGGGCAGAGACTGCAGCTCTGTTAAGGGCTCCTTTAGACTTCAATTAATTCAAATTAGCACAAAGTTGCAAGTCCCCCACTTTCAGAAGCTCCAGCTCCTCTTGGCCAGCAGGCTGGGCAGCATACAGCGGGCATGTAATCCAGAGTCACTTCTGTGCACTCGGGGTTTTGGGGTCCCATGATATCCCAAAGGCTACAGGAGAGCCACAGCCAGGGTGGCTGGTGATCCTCAGGGAACCATTTTAGGATATAAGGCTCTACTTAATGACAGGAAAAATCTGAAGCCAAACATAGGGTGCATGTTTGTGTACATGTTGTGTCTGCATGCACACAGGTCTTTGTGCATGTCTATAAGGACAAAAGGCTGAGCAGAGATCTGCAGTCACCAAGCCAGCCTGGCTTGCTCTGGGACCCAGCCTTTGGCCAGCAGGGAGGTTCCTGGACTGAAAGGATGTGCTGCCTCTGCCAGGCCCTCAGCCCTAGGCACCTTCAAGGCCTCTGCCTTCTGACAAGGCTGCCCCAACATAGCCAAGACAGATGCTCTCAGCAGGCAGATAGTGCCCCCAGCCTCACGAGGTACCAATCTGGGTTACTGCCCCTTCCTTCCAAGATGGAAGCCCCTCCTGCCACCAGTCCTTTTTGCTTCCCTCCTCCCTGCACAGCCCTGGGTTTTCTTTCCTTCAACCAACTGCCCATCACCCCTTTCCTCACGTGACCCACACAGGTCTCTGGCACCCCGCTCATTTCACAGTGGCCTCATCTGAAAACCCTCTCTTGCCTGAGCACATCACTCCCCAGCAGCCCTCTCCAGCTCTATCCCCCGCCGACCTCAGATTCAGGGGCAACCCTCTGCCTTGTCCTCGGAGCCCCAGCCTCTGTGGGCAAAGCCCCTGTTTCTGGGCAGGGCCAACCTTCCAGCTCTCCACTCCCCCTCATGTCTTAAAACCTCTGCCTCCAGGCTCACCATCTCTTCCACCCTTCCTGCTGTCATCCCGAGGGCCCTCAGCATCTTTATGAATGACTCACCATCCGCAAGGCCTCTTTGTCTCTGTACTTATCTCTGGTGACCCTTGTACCACTCCAGGCCCCTGCTCCCTTGGTGCACAACACCTGGACAAACCAGGCTGCCCTCCCACTGTCTGATCATTCCCTCACTCTGAGGTGCCCACCACCTGGCACTGACCCCCCAGGGACCTCCAGTCTTCTTTCCTGTTCCCCTGCCGAACTCTTGTTTCTATCTGACACCAGCTCCCATGCCCAGCACCTCAGACACACCTCTACCCTTCTTCTAGGACACATTGCAGGGTTTGCTCTAGCCCACAGGCAAGGAGGCCACACTTAGGTTTGAAACAAAGTTGGCCTGATCTGATGTGTACTTTAGAGATTCCCCCCAGCTGCTGGGGCATTTCTGCTCCAGGGCTCTCCGTAATGTGGGAAGCCATTACAGGAACCCAGGTGAAGGCTGGAGGTGACAGGGAAGAAAAGACGTGAGCAAGTCAATAACCATTTAGGAGGCCACACAACAGGACTTCGAGAGACAGGAGTCAAAGCTGACACTCACACTTATGACTTGGAAAGTGAATAGAGGTGGGGGACACTCTTCACCAAAAGACGAAACCCTGGAGGAGTAGCCAGGGTTTCTGAATTGGAGGTTGGGGCTGGGAAAGAGTGATGACTTCCAGTTTAGACACAATGAGTTTGAGGAGCACCTGCGACATCCAGGAGGCAGCTGGGTCTGAAGGTCAAAGAGAGGGGTGGGCAAGTGAAGAGCCCCGGGAAGTGGAAAAGATCACCCAGAGAGGACATGCAGCGGGGAAGAGGAAGGGCACTCAGCACAGCCCTGAGAAAACAGCACTTGTGGGCCGGCAGAGAGGACGCACCCGAGAAGTCCGGCTGGAGGAAAAACACAACAGCAACAAGGGTGCCGAGGGAAATGGCCAGCGAATTTAGTGACAAGGAGGTTGCTGGCAACCTTGGAGAGACTAGTTTCTCCGTGGTGGAGGGCAAGAAGACAGGGCATACATGATAGACAAGGAAGAGGGACTGGAAGCACAGACTCCTTTTTCCAGAAGCCTGGCCAAAGGAGGCGGCAGGCTGGACTACATTGCTTGGGAGGAGACACACACACAGAGGCACGTGACTACAGGAGAGCAAGAAATGAATGACTGTGGATGTGTGCAACGTTCTTCTCGTCTCCACCCAGGACTGGGGCTCCCTGAGTGTAGGGCCTAGGCCCTGACAGCCAGCCACCCAGGCCTGGGCGAGGGGTAATCTCTCAGCAGGATCAACTGGCACACCCTGACTGGGCAAATAGGTGCAGATCAGCCCCTTCCTGGAGAAGCATGGATATTGAGTGCAGAGCCAAGGCAAACACACTGTGTCCAGGACGGATGCCTGAGGCCATGATTGAGGGCAAGGGGTCAGTCCGGAGGTTTATTCTAAAATCTCCTGAGTTGAGAAGGCTGATTACTCTATGACTTTCAGCAACCCAGAAAGACTTCCCAGCAACAGCAGCAATTCCAGAGCTGCCTTAACGGAGTAATGAGACTATTCCCATCAAGAGAAGCCCCAGACCTTTAGCTGTTTAGGGAAAGCAGCTAGTGGCCAAGGCCACCAAAAGCTGTAGGCTCCTGGCTATGTAGTTAAAGGATCTGCACCATAAGAAAACCAGTCATTTGGCAGCATTGGAGAGAAGAAAAGTTCAGATGGCCTCTGGAGTCAAACACACTTTTCAAGTCTCAGCTCTGACATTTGACTGCTTCAATGTCTTCATCTATAAAATGGAGCTAATAATACCTTCCTCACAATTGTTTTAAGGTTAAATGAGATAATACCGTAGAGATCAACCTGCCACACAGTAGGACTCAATAACTGGAAGATAATAGTAGAATCATCATTTCCTCGGGGACTGGTAGGCAGATGGGCCCTATAGCCTGCCCTCCCAGCACCAGGGCACCCCCAGGGCACTCACCCGGATGCCCCGGCTATAGGTGATAAGCTTGAGGACTCGCAGGGACTGGATGCCATCAGCAATGTTGAGGTAGGGGTAGTAGTTTCCCTGGATCTCACGGAGGGAATAGGGGATGAAGATAATGATGAGAATGATCACATCCAGTAGGTTGTAGCCATCCTTCCAGTAGTGGATGGGGTCCACATAGACCTTCATGAAGAACTCACAGGTGCAGATGGACACAAACATAATCTCCGAGGTCTGCAGGGGTGGCAGGAGTTGGTAGGGTCAGATCAAGCTGCAGAGCCCTAGAGTCCTGGCCCTCTCCCTGCCTGAGCCACCCAGTCAGCTGTTGGGGAGTGATGTTCCTAAGTCACACACACGAGAGAGAAACCCAGGCAGAGTCTCTGGGCAGACAGTGGAAGCTCAGCATGCCTGATTCCCTTCTTCTGTGTCATCTCTACCCTGTGGCCCTAAGCATGGGGCTAGGTTTGACCCCTGGTGCAGACAAGATTACTGTATAAGCTCCAGTTACAGCAACTCAACATATCAGGCTCGATATAACCTGAACTCAACTTCAACATAACCTGAATTTAAGGTTTTCCAAGAGAAGGTCCCAAGAGTTTTCTGGCCAACTTGAATATACAAATTTTTAGGAATATGGATGAAGCATTCAAATATCTACATATATTTAATCTATTAACTTAATTATACATATTTAAAATGAGTTAACTAAAGTAATCTGTTTCTAAAGAATACTCTGCTCATTTTTCATTTTTACACTTTATGAACCAACCTTCTTCATCATGCATCTACAACTCCAATGGCTTTGTTTTTACCAAGAAGTATTTTTTATCATATAAGTTTTTCCTTATTGTCTAAATTGACTTATCTTGATTATCATCTAAATGAATTGATTCATTCATTGAAAAAGCTTTCATTGAGCACCTACCATGTGCCAAGCAAGCACTGTCAGAGGCACTGGAAAATGCAACAATGAATGAGACAGAAAATATCCATCCCCAGAGAGCTCACAATCTAGTAGGGGAGACAGAAATAAATACTTTAACAAATACAGAGTGTAAAATATAGTGTAATGTCAGGTAGAAAGGAAAATAAACCAGCCAAAGGAGATAGAGGGACTGGTCAGGGGGAAGAGGGGCAGTCCTGGCAGCTATTTTAGAAAAGGTGGTGAACGCAGGTCTCACTGAAGCCAGGAATTGAGCCAAGATAAAAACTGGGAGAATGCTTCCAGGATGTAGGGGAATGGCAAGTCCAAGAGACCCCAGGCAAAAAGGAGGTTGTTCAAGGAACAGCAAAGCCAGCCTGGCTAGAATGGAAAGAGGGAGAGCAGAATAGGAGAGGCAGTTGGAGAGGTGGACCACATTGGGCCTTGGAGACCTAGTGAGCACTTCGAATTTCATTCCTAGCCTTGGATGATTTTGAGCAAGGGAGTGATCTGAACTGATTTACATTTTTAAGAGATCTCAAAGAGTCTGAACAATTCTTGTACATTTTCTTGTACATGTGTGTAAAGCTCTCTCAGTTACATACCTAGGAGTGGAATTATAGGATATGAGCATCTTCAACTTACTAGATATTGACAAATCTTTTCCAGAATTATTGAGCCAATTTGCTTTCATATCTGCAGTGTTCCTATTGTTCTACATTCTTGTCAACACTTCCTATAGTCAGACTTAATTTTTGTCAGTCTGATGAATACAAAATAGTATTTTATTTTTTATTTTAATTTTCATTTTTCTAATTATTAAGGAGATTGGGCATCATTTTATATGTTTAAATTGTGAGTTGCCTGCTTCTTCTCTTTTGCCCACTTTTCTGCTGGATTGTTTTGTCTTTTTCTTACTGATTTGGAAGACATCTTTTACAGATTTTGAATCCTAATCTTTTGCCTGTTATATCTGTTATGAATATTTTCTCCCACACTAACTTATCACACTGACTTTTCACATTTTTAATGGTCTTTTAATGACTAAAATTTTAATAAAATCAAATTTACCAAAACTTTTCTTCATGGTTT